GAGAGAGAGAGAGAGAGAGAGAGAGAGAGAGAGAGAGAACACGTATTTACATTGCATTAGTGGGGCTTAAACTCAGAACCTCATGCATACCAGGCAAGTGCTCTACCTTTGAGCTACAATGGTAATATTTTGAGCGTCATTTGTCAATTCCTGCACCTATTCTTGAATTAGTTCACATAGAAACAGGGTTGATATTAATTAGACTTTTCAAAACGCAATGAATTCCAATTAAATTTTTTCCTTTAACATTTCACTTACTGTTGTAAATTCCTCTAGTATTATTTGATAAATTTTAAATTCCTCTCAGGAAAGAAGCTACGTAGAGTAAGTTTGTCTTTTCTCAACTTAAAATGTTAGTCCTAATAGGTATTTAGAATCATTAGTGAAAGTCAACAAAATGAATACACGTGTGTTGGAAGCTCACATTTCCTCTCCCAACGCCCCTATTTCCTGTGTTGGCCACCAGGGGGCAGAACTCAGTGGAAGCGTGAAAGGCATGCTTTCAAAGCACCTACACAAAGTCGCTTTATAGAATTCCTAATGACTGTGGATTTTTTCTGTCACCAAGACCAAATCCAATCTACAGGATGCACCTGAGCCTGACTGCACGGTATGCTTTTACAAGTTGGGCTAGAGTTGTGAGAAACCACAGGTACTGTAAAATCCTTAGAGGGGGAAAATATTAGCTTTATGGGGAAAGGACTATTTTATGTATCTTAACTACACATTCATAAAATGCAAACTGCACATGAACCACATTCATGTGGCACAATTTTTTTTAACAACTTAGGTACTTAAAATAGCTCCAACACAGTGTGCTTTTGTGGAGGAAAATTATATATCAGAGCATAAAACAACAACAAAAACCCCACCACTGACTGCTGTGTGAGGCAGCAGAGATTCCCCCTCCCCACTCCCCCCCCCCAATCCAGTGCTTTGGAATCCAATTTAGAACTAGCTGTCAGGGAACTTGGTTTATTAGCTCAGCTTAGAATGTCAGTGGAAGAAATTAAAATCTTTTAAAAAAGAAAATAAAATCGATAACTGCTCCCTGTCATTTGTGTGTCGCGACGCCTGACAACCATAGAAATTGGTTTAAGGACAGAAGTTTATGACGTGCCAAAGACTACAAATCTGTCAATGGCTGGCTCTTGCATGGGACAGAAAAACTCTGGCCTCCACTAGGTTTGTTGACTTTTAGAGGGAAAGGTTTTATGCAAACAGACTTTCCCACAGATTAGCCTCTCAGAAAGCGCTTAGGATATTTGGTTTCCTGGAAGCGCTTTCTTTCCCCTTAACTCGATTACAGTATTCCTGACTGGAAGTCACAGGTTAAGACCTGACTGTGCATCAGATTTAAACAGATCAGGCAAAATGGGTCCTTGGAAGGGCTCCTAATGGGGCGCTCCATCTTCCTCTTCCAGCTTCAAACCCTCTGGCCAGTCCTGGCCCAAGCTATCCTCCAAGGAGTAAATTGCAGTTCACATTTCCCAGGAAGATGACCCAACGTGATTCATAATCTTCAAGTTACAAGAAGCTGGACAAATGCTTTGTGGGGGTTGTTAGCCTCTCCTCCAGGCAGACGTGGCCACTAGTCCTCACAAAGGACACGTTGCACAGCCTTGGCCCAGGCCCAGGCAACCAGCTGGCCTAGGGTCTTCCTCGGGGTTGCTTTTAAAATCAACCGAATAGCTCAGTCTACTCCAGTTGCAGCCACAGAGTTCCCTCTTCTCCCAACGGTGGCCAGAAGTTACTGGGCGACCACACCGATTTGGGACATCCCACCTGACCCATGTCGCATCTGTAAGAAGGACCTCTCATTATGGTCTCCCGTGGCGTTTCAAGACTCCACTGCAGGCGTGCCTCATATCCGTCCCCACACAAACACACAAGGCAGGACACTGAGGCACTCAAGATACCTAACACGCCGTCCTACACGCACCACCAACAGCGGCATTGATGCCCTCCCGGTACGAGTGTGGCTGGGTCCTCTCCTCCAGCACTGAGGTCAGGACCGACTCTCAGACTCACCAGGTCTACCACCTCCCTCTGCCGGATCAGCGCTTTTTGCTTCACCTTGGGGTTCTCAGAGGCGCTGGACGGCGCGGACAACAGCAGTAGCAGCAGCAGCACAAGGAAGAGGCCGAGCTGCAGCCGCGGGGAGGCGGCACGGCCTTGGGGGTGCATGGTGTGCGGCGGCTGCGAAGCGCGGAGCAGGAGGTAAAGGGGTCCGCAGGAGCCCGGCCCTGCTCAGCGTCTGGCCAGCTCTGCAGCCCGCCGCATCAATGCTCCTTTCACTGAGCGCCGCCCTCCCTTCTTCCCTCCCACCCCCTGGACACCCGGAGCTTGCAGACTGTAATAGGCCTGGGTCCCCGGCTCTAGCCCGCCCCTTCTCCGCAGCTCCGCCCGCCCAGACCCCCGCGGGTGCTGCCGAGCAGAGAGGACCCGGCGGGTGACAGTGGTCAGGAACCACAGGTGATGGGAATGGAGACCGACCGCAACTCCAGAGTTTCTTAGAGGCACATGTCTTAACTCGGGTCCAGTAATCACCTTTGGGTTCCTTCATTCCTAAAAAGTTTCAGCTTATTATTATTATTATTTTAAAAAAATAACAAGTGACGTTTGGGGTATTAAGTGGAGAGAGTCATATTATAGCAGCCTTTAAGAGTCCTATGACCTAAATGATCGATAGTGTTTGGGTGTTACCCACTTCTAAACTCCAAGATGCAAAGCTCTGTTCTCGTGGTCCCTTGGGCAATCCCATGGGGCATGCTGCTGCCTGGCGTCTCCATTCATAGGTGAACTGAAGCTCATGGAAAATAACCAACATTCAGTGGTGCAGGTTCACTTCCATGTGCTTATTCCACATCAGATTAATGTATTTTTAAAAGTTCTAACCAACTCCAATCAGGAGAGCAGCCTCCAGCTCCCTCGGGCGCTCTGACGGAAGCAGAGAGGCGACCGACTGTCACCTCTCTCTCCATCCAGGTCCAATCCCTAGTTTCATCCCGAGCTCTGTCCCTGAATGGATCCCACGGATCTTTCCCTCCTACACTCCCTTCCCTCACTCATTGCCCTGTCCTACCCTCCACCCCCAATTCCATCAGGCACTCCCTGGGAACCCACAGTCAACACTGGGCAGTCAAACAGATAGGCTAGCTGCAGCTCTTCTCTCCTTCTGCTTCTCCCTGTGGAGCCCCTCAGTCTCATCCCCAATGCGCCTTTCACTGAGCACTGCTTCTACACCCTTCTCCGGTGAATCGTACAGACATTGCCCTGCAAACTTTCCTCTCCCCAGTCATTGCTTTGTCTTAGCTCCTGCTCTGGCACACACTCGTTGGGAACCCACAGGCTATTCTTGTACAACCAATAACAGCCAGGACAACAGGTCTCCACAAGAACTCACCAACTCACAGCAAGCCCTGGATATTCCAACCTAGCTGAAGCACAAATAAAGACCTTAAAACAGCCTATGTGCACATGATAGAGGTCCTTAAAAAGAAAACATTAAATCCCTTCAAGAAATCTACGAAAGCACAAACCGTGGAAAGAAGAGAATAAAGCCACTCAAGACCTGAAACAGGAAAAGGAATTGTGAAGGCCTAGGTAACTGTTGCCTGTCTAACCTACCATTTTGTGCTGTTCCTAATGTCATAAGGAAGCTTCCTCATATGTTCTTATGCGGTTACTAGGATGTTCTGGCCTTTGGTGTTCTTGGAAACTAACATTTCCTGCGCCTGTGTATAAGCTTTTATGGTATTTGCCTTTATAAGCTGCCCCCAGGATGGACCCCAACATAAGAGAGACACCTATACCTATTTAGAATAAGACTTCCATTTTGAGTAGTGACAGAATAAAGTTTACGTTTCCAAGACCTTCCTGGGAACTGATATCCTACTTGACAGAAAGAGACATGTATGTGGAAAACTGACATCCTGGTTGGCAAGTAAGACATGAATATAAGACAAGGCAAGTCCTCTGCCACACTTGAGTACCCCAACCAATGGGAGCAAAATAAGTGCACAACAAAGACATGTTCCTATGGAAAACCCCTATCCCTAAATCCTGATTGGTGGATTAACTTAGCACAGATGATTGTAGATCTCAGGCTTTAAAAGCCCTGTAGGGTCCTGACTCTACATCACAGTTCAGCTCCTGAGTCTGGATGGTGGTCCTGATCAATCAATCCTGGCGCATATGTGACTTGTGAGGAGACTCCTGGACCCCCAACAGAATTGATAAAGAAAACCTAATCTGAGGGAAATCTGGACATGAAAAATGTAGGAACTTGAACAGCAACCACAGAGACAAGCTTCACCAACAGAATTCAAGAGATGAAAAAGAGACTCTCAGACATGGTGGAAGAAATGACTCCATAGGTCAAAGAAAATGTTAGATCTAAAAATAACTCCTGGTTCAAAACATCCAGGAAATCTGAGATACTATGAAGAGACCAAATCTAAAATGAGAATTAAGGAAGGAGAAGAAACACAGGTCAAACGCACAGAAAATATTTTCAACAGAGTGATAGGAGAATATTTTCTTAACCTAAAGAAGAAGCCTATCTGAAGTGAGAACTTCAGGGTTCTTTGGAAAGTCAGCTGTGTCAGGTGGTGTTTTGCTGAGGCAAACATGTGAAGAAATGTTTTCCTAAAGCAGATACAGGTGAAAGGATATTTTGCTAAAGCAAACACATGGAAGGACACATGATGAAGAATTCTTCACTAACGACACACATGTATTCTCCAACTTACATTGTGTAGTTGAGCTCCATAAAAAGAAATGCACCAAAAAACTTCTGGTGGTGTGGTACAGCTTCCAGTGATGTCAGCTGATACAGACTCACGTGGAGTTTTGCTAAGACAGACTCACGTGCTGAGGCAAGACACGTGGAGGACACGTGATGTTTGGAGAGAGTATAAATAGGACTCAGTGGACTGTGAGAAGGGCTTGCTTGTAAAGCTAGCTTCACAAGGCTTCTTGGACTTGAGTCTTCACTGATCTTCGATTCATTGAGATATGTGGTTTGTGAGGTGACTCCTGGACCCCCCAAAAGACAATATCTTCAACAAATGGTGCTGGCCAAACTGGATAGCTGCATGCAGAAGAATGCAAATAGATAGATACTTATCATCCTGTGAAAAACTCAAGTAAGAAATGTCTCAAAGACCTCAACATAAGGCCAGGTAAAATGAATGTTATAAATGACAAAGTGGGAAATGGTCTTCAACTCATTGGGACAGGAAAAAAAAAAAACCCAAACCCTTTCAGAACAGAACAGTAATAGCACAGGCACTGGGCTGCTTTGAATAAGAATGTCCCCCACAGGCACATATATGTGAACATGGAATAGAAGGATGAAGAATTCAGTGGCCTCAGTTGATATCAGAGGTTGGTGTGGTACCCAGCCCTTATCCGAGGATTTTCTCCCTGCAGCTTCAGAGCTCGATGCAGAAACTCAGAACTGGACAAAGTGATCAGAGTTAATGGTGGCAGGATGACCCGCCCTAAATGTGATACGGTATCATCCCTTCCAAGGCTCAAGGGACATTGTAGAAGAGAGATGGTTGTAGAAGAGCCAAGGGATGGGAGGGTATGTATAAAAAGTCATCTTTAGGACACGATGCAGACACTGAGCTCATTAACTCACTAGGCCGCACAAGACTGGGCCCATCACATCTGCATCATGGAAGGGGGAGGGGCTCAAAGGGCTCCAGCCCAGCCAGGGATGGATTACTGAGAGTTAACCGTACTTAGGGAAGAAGGGTGTCATTTCTTCAGCCATTGATAAATGGCACTTGCTCTAATAAATAACCCCCTATGAGCACTAGGACAAGTAACTCTAATTAAACTCACTGGGTCACACACAAAAGGAGACATGGAAGTAGAAGAGGGACTTAGCAGGGGGAGAAAAAAAGGTTTCAGCAGGTGACAGGGATGGGAGAGGGGATGAGAGGTAAAATGACTACAATTCTTTTTATAAGTGTATGAAACCATTAAATAATAAAATATATAGTAATAAAAACATACTTAAATGCTAGGAATGGACATTCATTCCTCTAATTTATTCTCCAGAAGGCTGATGCAGGAAAAATTCTGGCATCTCAAATATAACATGGTCTAGGCAGTAAGACATTGTTGCAAGCGTGGGATCCCTTTTAAATGCCCCACTGTGTAACTGTTGAGGTCACGTGCCCATTAATGCTTCCTACTATTAATCCAGCAGGATGAAGTTCCCATGGAAGCCCCTCTGTAGACAAAGTGCTATCCCTATAGCAGTCTGGTGGCTGGAAGGGAACGGAGAGACGCACCAGAGAGTGTGTGTCCAGACACCTCAGCCCCTGCCTCTGGTCTCTTTCTATGTAAATCAAGAGTCCAGATTGGTGATGGAGCCATATTCACATTCTAGCCAGTTACAATGTAACAGATGAGCTGTGTATCATTATTTGTATCTAAAAATATAACAAAATGAAAGTGCTTTGATGACTACCAAAGACTTCTGCAAATCCAGTCTTCCAGGTCTGAAAATTAGTCCCCAGCACTGTCCCTCTGGATTTCAATTAACTTCACTATGCTTCATTGTGTAGTTCTGTGGGTTCCCAAAGGCATATATCTTACAGCATTTGGGAGTTTCTACCTTAGCCAGCTGAATTGTTCTGGTCAAATCCTCAGGCCTTTTCTACCCTTCTAGGCTTTCATTCCACTTGGACATGATGAATAGTCTCTGGGTCCTGTGTACTATTTAAGAATGATGCTTCTCCAGTCCCAGATGAACAAGTGAGAGTTTTCTAGATCTAATTTTGAAGTCTAATGTTAGTCATGTCTTGTAACAGTTGTGATGACTTGATTTAGTTAATTCTGAGTATGTGTCATACTTAAGAACATTTAACAATGGATGGTAATATTAATTCTGAATGAATAATGACATTTGGTCATCTTTATAAAGATTTTATATGTTAAATAAGACCTAATCACTACAATTATAAGCCTGAAAATTCAGATTTTTTTCCCACTTTGGGTGCAGGGAGTTGAATACAGGACAGACTATGCTACATCGTCTCTGTCTGGAAGCACAGCTTCAGCTCCTTGCTCTATTGAATTTAAGCAGTCCTGGGACAATTTGAAATAAAAAATTCTACATACTATATTCTTACATTTTTCTTGGCAGGAATTTTGCAAATAAGGCAAAAATCTAGTGCAATAATGTAAGTGTAGCTTAAAATGTGTAGAACAATTTCTTTAACTTGGTTTCTAATTAGAGCTGAGTTTTAAGACAATTAAATTTCATAAATGTATATGCC